AATTGGTGTCTATCCAAGGATACCCATAAAAGATGATAGAAGGTTAAAATAATTTTTATGCCTGAAAGCATCTCTAACAATATAAAGATGAGAAGTGATAAAGAAGGTCATTTCAACCAATAGAAAATTTAGATTATTGCTCACTGTGCTTGACTAACATGATGACCGTGATCGATTCTGCCTCCTTCCACCAATAGAAGAAATCCTTTCGGATTGCGAGATAGTATTTTAATAGCAGCTTCTGTCATATCAGCTAAGCTTGGTTGGTCTGCATTATCAGCATGGTACTCCAGGTGATTGGGAGCAAACAAACCTTCAGTATGAAAGACAGATATTGATCACATACACAGGCATTCAATGAAATAATTTGAAATGTGAATAATGGACTATTTAAACATGATACGAATATTCATTTTTCCCACCAGCATTGTTAATGAAAACAGGCTTTCATTTATCCAAATTTTCATTTGTCACAGTGTGCAGTAATAATAAACTGTATCACTAAGTTGGAAATAATGGTAAACAAATGTGATTCTCGGGTTAAGAAGCCATCAATCACTACATGAAATTTTCATGCAAAACAGAACATTTATCACTGATGCTTACTTTGGACTGCATCATTAAAAAGCAATCTACTCCATATTGAATTCAGATTGGAGTCGAGTGACCTGGAATTATAAGCTGTAAGCAGTATTTATTACGGTAATAATTTCTCTATATGGAGCGAGCATAGTTTACAGAACTAAGATAGGAAGAGTTGATACTGATTTGATCTGAGCACCTGAATGAGTACAATGAAATTCTTTTCTCTCCCTGTAATCGTTATGAAATGTGATTGATAGTGTTTCCACTTTCGACGGTTTGTTGGTCATCATTTGCATTGCGAATCATGAAGATGAAATGGAGGCATTTGATCTCATTTTAGATTATCCCACAGCAAGTTTTCTACACCTATTTGTTTCTACTTCAGTAAACATTTTGTAACATATATACTAACTAATTAATTTCTCATGTTTCCTCTTACCAACTAAAATATTATTATTATTATTATTATTATTAGAGAATTTCGATTGTTCGAAGACACAAAGTAGTTGATTTTCTGAATCCTAATTCTAAACTACGATGCCTTTGTATCAATTATACTTAGTTGAATAACTTAGCTTTACATAGCGTAAACTAAATCGTTTTGGATTTCCTCACAATACAAAATTTAAGTTCTGTGTTATATATCATTTATCTTTTTCGTTTTTTAGTAGAGCTGGTGTCTTTGGTCTTTTTGTCAGTAGGTCCAATAGTGTTTATCAGGGATCTGTTTCCTACCTTTTGTTTTCTTTCGTGTCTGACCTCTGAATGACTGAATAAAAAAGTACTAAAAGTCTGTTGCGTATCTTAATTTGGGGCGGTATTGCTAACTGGAAAAATTGACCCTGAATTCAACATTTACTTGTTGACACTAGATAGGATAGGATTTATTAGGGGCATAAAGTCATCTCTTCTGCGTATAGATTCATTGCGCCATTAACGGTGAAGAATTTTTCAAATATGGTTGATAAAGATGCAGCAAACTAATATTATTACTTCTTACAATTGTTACACTTAACATTTATCTTTTTCACGGAACCAATATGTTTTCCAGTAATCATGTGGGATGTAGATTATTGCACTTGATAAAGTTTTGTAATGTACTTTCTCCCTTTGAAGAATTACTGTAAACTGACATGATATTCTCAGGAGACTTTGAACACCACCCTAGCAACTGCAAGATAACCAATTAGGCTTCTCCATCTTGTGAAAAACTACCTATTTTGGTTGAAATACTGAAACCTGATTGGTTATCTTAGCAGTTGCCAGGGTGGCGTTTAAAGTCGCCCGATATCCTTTCATGCCTTTCTGATCATTTTGGCTTATCTGTTAGCTATGTTGAAGGTATATGAGTGAATCTTGATTAAGAGATTTTTTCATGGTCAGTTTTCGAAGATAAGCCTTATTTTTATTAAATTAACATTTCAACAAATTCAGCTGACTGATAAAACTATTGGATATTAGCCTAATTAGGCTCAGCTCTAAACCTAATGGGGTTACTGACTTTCATCTAGAATATGCAAACTACAGGCTGATGGTGACCCTGACAGCATTATGAACACTGCTTGATCGATAAAATTTAATCACTAAGGCGTGACTTTAAGGGCCATCCTAACAACTTTTGAGAAAACCATTTGTGTCACTTTCTTTTATGAAAAACTTCCTTTCTAACCAGAATACCGAAACCTGATTGATAGTTTCAGCGGTTGGCGAGTTGACCTTTAAAGACGAGTGACTTTAAAGTTCACGCTAGCAATTGCTAAAATAGCCAATCACCTTTCCATGCTTTGAATGGAAAGTGGTTATTTTTAAAATGAAGAAACACGATTGGTTATTTCGATAATCGCTAGAGTGGCCTTTAAAGTCGCTCTAAAGAAACTCAACAACGGCTGAAAAAAATGAAGTTGGTTAAGCCGCAGTAACTGATCCATCAACCATGTCCTCGTTAAGGTGACTTTAAAGGCCACCCTGGCAATAATCTAAATAATCAATTAAATTTCATCTTAGCTGGAAAAGCGGGTTTTCATAAAATACAGAAGTCTGATTGGTTATTTCAGTTGTAGACAGGGTGACCTTCAAAGTCACTCCTCGAATAGCTAACTGCATGGCAAAGCCTCTGATTGGAGTGCTTTAAAGGCCACCCTAGCAACAACTTGGAAAGACGAATTAGACTTCTGTATTTTATGAAAATCTGCCTTTTCAACCAAAATGAAGAAATTTAATTGGTTTATTCGATCCTTACTAGGGTGGCCTTTAAAGTCTGGTCTCAGCACTAAGTGATTCAAGTTCGAATCTCTGAGGTGGCATCGGTTACGCCATAACTGCGAATATGCCTTTTGGATGACAATCGAAAAGAATGAATATTGGAATTATGGCTTCCTGCGGATTGCATCTAACCACTTAATATTTAATACTCAAATGTATGCAAACCTGAAATATATGTGAGTTACAAAACTGAGCGTTACTGCTCATCAAGTTCAAAGATGGAAGTAGGAATTTTTAATAATTTCTTATGTTAGATCTTTTCAAAACTTATTTGTTCCAGTGATAAAAATTCATTTTGAAGGCCTTAGAAAGAACTGACTATTCTGTTACTTTTAGAAACGAAGAGAAGCTATATATTAGTGGGCCAATTTAAGATTTCTTCCCTATGTTTCAGTTGCTAGTGCCAATCACATAACTGTAAGTGCATCCACTGATAGCTTTTCAATCAAGGCTGTTCGTGAGCAAGGCGAAACTATGTGCAAATACATTTGTTATCAAAAGGGAATTACCTAAGACGTAGTCGACGGACGACCAGTTCATTTTCTTGAAATCTTCATTAGTGTGTATTACTGCATGTCTGCGCTTCTTCTGAGCCTGGATATCACGCCATTCTTGAAGGAGGTTACGAGAATCAGAACGTCTACCCGCTTTTGAGAAAAGGCGTTCATGAGTTTCATCGTAGAAATTTGTTGCTCCTCCTCCCATTACAACATTCATGTTGGAAGCATTTGTAAGAAGCTGTGCGGCAGCATCCATGCAGCTGTATGTAGAGTTATTTATTGCGCTGAATAATAGTAGATAATAAATGAGGATTATTGTCTAAATGTTTTTTCTAAGTTAATCATTGTGACAGTTGAGTAATAAGTGAAGTAACGGAATATTATACCAACTTGATGGTGGTGTGACCATAAGCGCCTAAACTAATATAACATGATTGGATACCAACTTGAGTTTGACAGAATATCTGATCTTAGGATATGATGCTCAGATCTCGGTAGAAACTATGATGCATTTATGCAGTCACTTTCAAAGACAGTCATTATGAGTTACCCATTTTATGATAATAACAAGAGGAGGCTCTTGTTGTAGTAACCATATAAAGTTAGTGCATAGTAGTCAGGACTCAGGATGATCGCAGTGTCATGTACAATAAAACGAAACGAGAGATTGGGCTACTAGCCTTTACGTTCCAAGATGTATATACGAACTTCGCCTGTCCATAAAAGTTTATTTATTGTCAATGTTTTGCAAGAATTTATCACCAAGTAACACCTCAAAGTAAAATTGTACTAAGCAGGGTTTTTTTATAATCAGTGAAACTGACTATATAAACATGAAATGATGACAGCAATAAAAGCATTATTTTAAGTAATCTGTGTATAATTACTTGCAAGACAGCTTTTAGTCCTGTTGTAAGGCATTCGATGATCGATCTAAACAAACTCGAACAAGGTATGTCTGCGAACAATCTTGTCTCTAACTAGAAATCCTCAGATTTTATTCAATAATGCATAATTATGCCCAAATACACAATATTAGGGCGATGATGGGGATTTTTGAGTGCATCTTAACAAGGTAGTGAAGTTTGAGAATAGTAACTAACAAGATGATGATACCGTTCTTTTTTTCTAGTGATCACAAGAATAATGAAATTACTATGGTACTGCAACCATGTAAATCATCAATGTAGGTCAAAACCTTTAGAAGTAAAATGTATGCAAACAACTGAAGCCTAAACAAATATGCTATGTTGAAGGTAAAAGAAAGATGAATATCACGACAGGATTCGAACAAGTGGCTTCTTTATTGTCCATCAAGCTGTCTACAAGCCAGTCGGCTGGTCCTAACTTCACTTCATATCAGTAATACCAGTCCGCCAAACTACAACTACCTCAGATAATCACACCAACAAAAATGTAGTGTTTGAGTCAAAGGGGAGATGAACAAGAGAGTTCTTTTAAGTACTGATAATATTATGAATAAGATTATTACTGAAATATTACCAAAACTGAAAAATCTGATCACCGTGCATAAAGATTCATGTTAATTTATTTGCAATAGATTGGTTCGTAATTAACAAGAAAGGGTTTGAAGTAAATTGTGTGGTTAAAATTGTTCATTAGATAAAAATAATAGTTTTACAAACGTTTTCTCTATGCAAAAAAGACAGTTGTTTTCTCAAATTCTCATAGCTTCAGCTAAACCTAGAATGCGAATACGAAACCAGTTCAAAATTTTTTTATGGGATGAGAACTTCTACTGACTTCACTTCTCGCTTTCTGGCCAAGAAGGTGACTGGTCAAAGGAAGTAAGAGCATGGTGAGAATTTCAGTCAAACCTCATGGAACTTTGGTAAATAGGTGGGTTTTGAAATATATATATATATATATATATATATATATATATATATATATATATATATATATATATCTTTATTGACTCGACGAAATCCCTGTCGAATATTAGGGTGTTTTTCATCAGTAAACTGTCGCTCATTTATCACCTAACCGAAATATGCACTGAGTGAAACAGAAATGCATATAAAATTAGTGCTAACTATTTGAGGATGGCACACATCCTGAATAATTATGCTTACCTTTTTGACTCCCAGTCTCGATGCAGCATATTTGCGTATGCTGCGGCAGGAGTTGCATGTGTAATCCTAGTTGTTGTCACTATTCCAGTGGACAGTCCTGCTTTAGAAGCATAATACAGAGAAGACTTTGCTCTTTCCTGCTCCTTTAAAGGGGTGCATTCACAACATTTAACTGTTCCAGTCACTCCAACAGTTTTAAAATAACCTTTGACGCCTGAAACAAAAATGAAAGCTGAAACATTTGCTGACAGAAACTCAAACAAATAAAAAGTGCACTCTCAGTTGCACCTTTCCGTATCGGTTCTTGATTCCATAATGTGTCTTTAAAGTTCTGATTGCTTTCAGTCTGCTACATATTCAGGATCTTCATTCATTCCAACCTCCGTATTAAGATATGTGTTTTCTGCGTTGAAGAAATCAGCTTCATGTCAGACATCATTTAAGTAGTATTTAAAATTATTTTTAAGTAAAGTAGACAACTACTAATTTTTGATTTATGAGTCAAATACTCGGCATAATAGTAAATCATTTTGTATCAAATTACCAAAATATTTCAGTGTTTTGTGAGCCTAGATTTGCGAATTTTGTGCCACGTTCCTACCATTTCAACAAATTCGCCCATATATTTTCATCTAGCTGATCTAACGCGTTCACTACTACACCCAAAAGAGCCCTCATTAGGGAAGATTTAACCATTCGATACATATATTAGGACAACAGTACTTGTTCTTGTATGTTACATATATTGTAAGTAGATTAAAAACCACCCTTTTATATTCACCCAGCTGTCAAAAAATACTTTGCCACAGTACCTTCTCTAAAGCAAGAAGACTGAGTGACTAACTTCCAAGTCGTCAAACTTTATGCAGTCAGTATTTTAAAAAGTTTCATTTACCCTGGATACTTGTCAAAAATATACTAGGTAGTTTAAGATTCCACTACAAGCTAAATTGCTCAGCTTTTACAGACAATTTTAGTTCATTCTCCCTGTTAATTAAATGGAGCGGTTGTCCAACAACCAAATGTGAAAAAAGCAGTACATAAATAAGTAGAGGATTTTTAATGTAAATTAGAAACCAATATAATGACTAGGAAGGGATCGACATGAATATTAAGCTTACTCACTGAAGTGTACAAAGCATACGGTTGACACATGAATCGATTTGTGAAGGTAGTCCCAGCTAGTTTGAAATAAAACTATTAAAAATTGTCATGCTTCTTCTATGGAGCTATCACACACTTCATGAGACGACTAGATATATGATATAACCACCTACATGAATTCAATACAATTTTACGACTACACTCATTATGTGTAAAAATAAACAGTTTTAAATTCATTACTATTCCTCTATCTTCAGTCAAAGTCTGTAACAGCATATTGGTTTAACAAAATCTCTTAACCAGATAAATAATGACCATATCACCTACTAAATATCACACTTAATTGAATTTAAAACCTTGAAAAAAACTATTGAGTGTTAGACAAGTGATAAAACAATTTATGAACGACAGTTCACTATCAATACACATAACAATATTTTCTGATCACTAACCTGATAAAAGTGCTGTTGCAGCAGACCCCGAATCTGTTGTCAGTCTATCTGAATTGAATGTTCGAACAAGTGATGCTACAGGCCAGTCCTCCCAAGCCAGTTGTACATCACCCCCTAACAAATTTAGCTTTTCTGCTTTCAAATATCTGGCAGCAGTCACTGTACTCAGACTCATTCCATCACCAATGAAGAGGATAACATTTTTTGGAGGTTTTACCATTGAATAAGTGTAAGAGTTTTGGAACTTTTTAAATCTTTGTTCTGCTAATTTTTTCCAGGTTTCGGGTTTGTTACATCAAGAGATGAGTTTTTACATTCTGTATTATGCCAAAGCAATAGTGTTGTTAAAAAAAGTAGAAACAATGTCTTGCAAATTTGAACAGCACTCCAAAGCATGTCGGTGTGCTAGTTGACCTCTGAATTTCGCTAGTAGGTTTAATTCCTTTATATACCAAAACGTGAATCCAAATCTGTAAAATTCTTTTATGAAAGAATTCGTGATTGGTCAGTTTTTCATTTGGCTGCATACACTTAATTCACAGTGCCTCACTCAGCCAATGAAAGCCTAAATTACATATAGTGTTATGTTTGATCCCTTCAACCTGAAGCATTATGTGGTTCTATTATCATTTGATGTCCCAGTGGTAAGAAAATTATTGACCCACAGGTTAGGAGTACTAACAAACACGTGATCTACTTCCAGGACTTCTGCTGATAAACTCCTAACATGAGAAAAGACACTGGAGTGTCGAATCACTTTGCTTACTGGTCGCAGTGTAAAATTTGGTCAATGTACTTCGCGCAGTTCTGATCCCCTAATGACTGACCAGCTAAACCAGTTATCCAACACTGACCAGTTCTCCACTGGTTATCTATTGTTCCTGCGCCTGGAATCTTTCAAAAACTAAATATTGTAGTGTGTATGTGTAATGCTCACTTTTGTGTTGATTTCATCAGGTAACTGCAAAAATATTCTTTTGAACTTTGAACTTCAACTAGTGTTTTCATAAACTGTTTGAAATACTTTCAGAATCGCACAGCCTGAACACCACTGATTCTAATACAACTAAAGTTACTTTTGTTTAATCTAATTCAACAGTTTATTGTACAATAGAACCATATTTATGACAAAGTACATATGCAAATTTTCGAAAATTTTCTTATAGACATACTTGAGAATTATCCTTCAGTTTGTGAAAATTACTTCAGATCGTAACTTAGTTCACTGTACTAATTATAAGGCATAATGGGATATTTTTACTCCTATGAAAATACAAAAGAGGTAAGTTTAGTGTTGGATGTGGAGACTCAGTCGGAATCTTAGTGAATCTTAGTTTCATTCGCAATGCAAACTGAAGTAATGAAAATTTGACACATCAGCACTCAAAAGTGACACAAATCCATATGGTTTCTTTCGGAACATATGCCAGTTCTGAATGTATCGACTAGTCACTTGGAAATCAATATTTTAGGAGGATGGTGTGCAAGAATAATTTGAATAAATACTTGATAAGTAGTATAAGTTTATTCACGTTATTATTATTATTATTATTATTAGTCCCTTGGGTTCCTAGTGGAACACAGGGCTTCAGTAGCACGTCTCCAGTGACTTCTGTTCTCTGAGATCTTTTGAACCTGGTTCCACGACAGCCCAGAAGCTCTCATTTCCTCCTCGCACGACCTCCTCCATGTCACCCTCACCTCGGACGTCCAACTCGTCGCTTCCCATGGGGATTCCACTCGAGTGACTGGCCTGACGCGTGATGTCCTCAGTCGGCCTTCTCAGTGCATGCCCAATCCATCTCCACTTCCTCCTGCATATTTGTTGCGTGATAGGTTCTTGGTTGGTTCGTTACTTGGCCAGAGTTCCTTGTTGCTTAGTCTTTCTGGCACCATCTGATCTTCAGTAGCGGAGCGTAAGCAGTTGTTGATGAATGTCTGTAGTTTATTGGAAATCCCTTTCGTGACGCGCCAAGTCTCTGAACCATACAGAAGCACTGACTTGACGTTGGTGTTGAAAATCCGTATCTTGTTCCACATGCTGAGTGCAGTCGATCTCCACACTGGTTTCAGGCTAATGAACACCTGTCTTGCTTTTCCGATTCTGACTGGCTTTGACATCCTCGTCTGTGCCACCTGTAGTTGAAACAGTGCTTCCTAGATAAGTGAAGGAGGTTACTTCTTTTAAGTTTCTCCCGTTGACGGTGATTGGAGTTTGTTGTTGTTGTTGGAGTTGTTGGTGCAGTATCTTCATCACCTCTGTCTTCTGTATATTCACCTGAAGTCCCGTCTTCCTTCGCTGCCTCGCCTCTTCTGTCAACTTGTTAGTTTTTGCCTGTAGATCTTCAAGTTTGTGTGACATCAGGCACAAGTCATCCTTGGCGAAATCCAAGTCTTCTAGGATAATTTCCGTCGTCCAGTGTATCCCCCTCTTCTCGCTCCCCACTGTTTGCTGCATGATCCAGTCGACCACAATAAGGAATATCATGGGTGATAGTAGACAGCCTTGTTTCACTCCTGTCTTCACTTCAAAAGCATCACTGAGCTGGGCTGTCCATTGTGAATTACTTGGCATGTGGCGTCTTCATATAGTTGTTGAATGAGGCGGATAAAGGTTTGCGGTACTCCATAGTAGTGAAGCAGCTTCCAAATTACTTGTCGGTCGACGCTGTCAAAGGCCTTCTCGAAGTCGATGAAGTTTAGGTAGAGAGCTGATTGCCATTCTATGCTCTGTTCTATGATGCGAAGCGTAGCGTTGCAATTTGATGCGCACATGATTTGTACTTCCTGAAGCCTGCCTGTTCCGGTCGTAGTTTTGAATCCAGTGCATCTTTAAGCCTCTCCAGGATGATGCGGCTTAATATTTTACTTGCTTTGGGTGGACAGCAGAGTGATTCCTCGCCAGTTCTTGCAAACACTGAGGTCTCCCTGCTTCGGCAGTTTGACAAGGTAGCCCTTCTTCCAATCAATGGTAGGTACCATCCTTTCCTTCCAGACCTTCTACAATAGTGGTGTGGTGTGAGCATGTCCGCTGTTGTCTCTGCGTCTGTTCTCAGTGCTTCTGGCGGGATCCCATCTGGTCCTGCTGCTTTCCCACATTTCAGTAGCTTTATGGCGTTCAGGACTTCCATTTTCCTTGGAGTATTTATGTTCACTTGTAATTCAGCGGCTGCAGGTGGTATTTCTGGACGAAGTGCAGGTGGTGGTCGATTCAAGAGCTTTTTGAAGTGGTCGGCCCATTGTTTCCTCTGTTTCTCTTCTTTCGTAATTAAATTTCCGTCATCATCTTTTATTGATTCATCATATTAAAGTAACAGAAATGAAGTGATGAGAACTTGATCTATGCGAATAAACAACCCGTCGGTTCATCGAATTTTGGATTGTTTATTGCTGACCATAGTTTCACCACCTTTTGTTTTTTTCGATTTCACAAGTTCTGAGCTTGCGTCGTGAAATTCTGTTACAAGTCTCTTGTGCTATATTCGTGAGTGTGGATTCTTTCAAACGTGTATTACTTTGGTGCTGTGCTTACCTGGTGAGCTGCAGCTGTGAGACTGTGGATATACTCCGCATTGCTGTTTTGATTTTTTCTAATTTTCTCATTCTTTAGATCTCAAATCACCTTTATCACATGCTAAAAACGTACAGTCTATGGTTTTCAATGGTTTTATAATCTTGAAAGCAGCATTCTTCATGGACTGAGATCAGTTAGAGAACCGCTGAAAATTTGGGAGTACTGGACAGCTGTTTCATCCTATAGTAGATTTATTTTCATGATGAGGAATGCTTTGAAATCCAATCATTTCTACACAAATCTGCTACTTGGATTGGTAATGAGCAATAAAATTTTGGTTCGGAAAAGCAAGATTTACGACTGTTGGCTTTCATAATCAAAATCTGAGTGGTTATACATATAAATAAAAAACAAGTGGTCATTGACCATTTCATGTTAAAGACATGCATTGTTATCAGGATTTAACCATTTGCCAGTAAACACAAGTACCCTGAACGTTATGCAGCTATATCTCTTACACTTATCTAAAGCCAAGGAAGTGGTATAACAAAGTATAAAATATGCATCTAGAAAATCACCCTCAGAGTCTTTTGTTACCCTGGTCTTCCCTTATTTAGTCATTTTCGAGCAATATCATTTTCTTCTACCACCCTGAGAACATCACATAGCTGATTTGTTCCAGTTTATCACTCCCAAACAGTGTAAACTCGCGATTCGCTGAAAAATTAAGCTTATGGCTGTGAGATCTGTCCGTGGGTAAATCACTACCGGACCACTGATTAGTAGTAAGTGGCATATATTTTCAATCTCTGACATATACCAACAATCATCCAATGTTATCAATCAATATCTTTTCTCACACACACCTTGATTGACTACACTACTCACGGTTTCTTAGGACGTCGTGTTCAAAACGAGGAAAAAACAGTGGCTTGATGGTTCAGAGTTTCAAACAGTTCTGCATTTGATCTCAGTCTGTGATGAAAAATATCACGAGATAAAACAATGCCTACAAACCACAAGCTGAATGAAATATATTATCTTCTCTTCACCAGATTACTAGTGCTAATATCTTTCATTATTTTCACGATAACTAAAATTTTATTAAGAGATTCACATATTTTATGTTCCATTCATCACCACTTATCTCATTATGACTGCATACATTCTAAGTGCAAAATTCAGACACACACAAATCTTTCAATCAAATAGTCTTATGTATTATATAGACTTCCCATTCAGCAACTATTTAAACTTCAAATAACAATGAATAACTAATCTTTCAATGTTAATGTATACAAACAAAGTGAGACCTAATTGTTTTGGAAATCATTGGATATTGAGTTGATTGGATTCATTGTATTTACATTTAAAACTGATATTACTCCAGTAAAGTATATCACAATGAACAAATTAATTATAAATATACATTAATCCTGTAGATTTCGAACTCGTTAAGAAGATACTTAACACGAGGAAGAATTCAGAATTAAACAGTCAGGTTGATATTTCAAAGTTTGATCTGAACTATTTATTTCTACAACCACAGAGAATAAAGAGTAGAATAACGGTCAGCTATTTGGTACATAGATCAAAATCATCCATTTACAAGTTTGAACAAGTCAGGTAGTAGATTTTATTCAACCGCCGAATATTCAACTAAACGATGAATAGTCAAGTGTTAGAAATAAATACGGTGGAATAAG